CGGTGCCCCGCTTCGGTGCGGGTCCGCTTCGGTGCGGGTCCGTCGTACGAATCTGGTGCACCGATGGAACACACTGGGTGTCTCTCTGTTCAAACGACCGAAGACTGTGTTCTCGGTGCTTCGCTTCGGTGCGGGTCCGTCGTACGAATCTTGCTGCTCGGTAAGTGTTGTACTGGTGGCACTAAGAACACAGCCCTCAGGGCCAACAGTGCATGATCGAATCCCAGGGAACAACCGTCAAATGGTGATAAGGGAGAAGGAGATGGAATGGAGGGAAGTCGGTTTCAATGACGACGAACCCGGTGTAAGATGGTAATGAAAATTACGGGGGTTGGGGTAGTCTGGGGTTTGGGAATTACGTTCAAGGGCCTGGTGGAAGTCCCAAGCACACAACAGATCGTTCTCCGTTTGACATGGGTAGGCTGGAAGCCGTAAGTTCGATCGGTGAAAGAGTTGTTCGTTCTCCCAGTAGTCCCTATGCTCGGGGTTCCTCAGACTCGCATGGTAGGTAATCCAGAAGGGAACGTCGGCCTCCATATTCGACAAGGGGGGCTTAACTCATACATTTGGTTGTGCAAGGAGGGGAGGTGTCGGGTCAGGCAGACGCGTGTATACGTGACGGCTGTCGTTTGGCGATCACTCGTATACGTGCGTGCATCTGATATACTCCCACCGAGTCCGAATCAGCTCAGACAGATCGGATAGCCGGTATAGTCATTTGACAGTCATAGGGGACGAAGTGAATATTGCATTCTTATTTATTAGAGGTCAATTAATATAATTAATGCATGGGAAAAATCGAACCCTTACTTAGGCATATACACAGATCGTGACCCGTTAGTTGTACATAGATCCGCCCCGATCCAGCTCGATCACACATCTGATAATCATAAGGACATAGTTATTTCAAAGTGGGCAGAATCACATACATATCTCCACACATCAGCAAAACGTTCATTTCTTGCACCCTTGTTTCTACAATCGACAATCCTCCATACAATCATAGCACAGAGGTGGGGGAGATAAAAATGCTTCATACATCAATTGAAGAAAAGACAGGAAGGTCAAAAAAGTGTCGCAATTGAGAATGGTCAAAGTCATAAGTCAAAAGTTACATAGAAGATGCGAAGAGAATAATTCCCCCTTCAACACACCGCCTTCTTTCCATCTCTCTCTCTCTCTTTTAAGATCACTACGATGCGGGTAGTTCGTCGCCCCGCACCCATCAACAACCCGAAATTGTCACCCCGCTTGGTCCGAGTATGCAAGCTAGGTTCGCCCGTATGCCACTGTCCTTCGCAGCCACACATCAACCCCACATACCTGACACTAGCTCGTCGGATCGCCCAACTCCCTACTCACCTTTCTGTCTCCGCTCGTTAGTCGATCCTCTCGACCACGCTAACTCCCAAGTGTAGATTAGAGAGCGAATTAGTTGCGCATGCAAGCTTTATAGTAGTTAGTAGGTGCACTAGGTAATTCCGGATTATGCTGAAGCGAGCAGAAGAAAGGAAGAGGAATTCCTGCGGGTGCATCATTACGGGGTCGCAGCGTAGGGACGTAGCCACTCTCCACTCATCGATCCTGTCATGCACCTACAGGCTACAGACCAATGAGATAGACAGGAAAAGAGGCGCAGAGAACTTTGTACGACAAAAGAAAGGGAAAAAATCAAGAAGTGAGAGGATTATAGTTACACCTGCGCTCGCCAAGAAGGAGCAAGAAGAGAGATCACAATTGCAATTGGAATCTAGGCGCGGCGGGAGCAGCGCATAGGAGCCCTGTGCCGTTTAAGCCAAAAATTGCGATGCTCCCAAATTTCTAGCCTTATTAAAAATCCTAATTGCAAGAAGAAATTCGGAGAACCAGTGTATGTCCAAAATTAAAAAAAAAAGGCAAGAAAACTTCCCTGCAAGGTAACCATGCCAGAAAGTTTCCCCCCAGTTCCGTCGTCAATAAAACAAAAAGAAAGAAAAGACGCTGTGTCAACCATTATTTTTCACGCTCGCTATGTGCGCCCTCCCAAGCGTCGTGGTCCCAACCGAAAAAAATAGTGCGATTGGGCCCGGTCCTTTCTTCTGCAAATCCCCCCTAATTTCCAATGCCCCTCTGTACTACTGCGCAAAAGATGACGCACTTACATAAAAAAAACATCGTCATAGCCTAAACGCTGGAGTGACACACATGATGGTCTTGGCTTAGGTAATAACACTGCCATGTGATGTGCGAGCCTATGTACGTGAACGAACTCGAGTACCCCAATTTCTCTTCCTATCCCAATCTCTTTCCTTTTTTTTTTTTTGATAACCAAGCGTCGCGTAAGTACGTATGACTTGGTACAGGTCCCATGGCTGCCCAAAACCCTTTAACTTCGAAACATTTTTGTATTCCATGATGTTCGGACTTTTTGCTCATTTTTCTTTTAAATTTTACGTAGGAACTACACGCGCCTCAGTAAGCGCGTTGGAATTTGGTCCGACAATTGCGAATTTATGAAATTAATGAGCAGTAAGCACACTTTTTTGTTGACGTTACTGACGTGTTTTTTCTATGCAATCGTTCGGGATTCATCCTAGAAAGCCCCATGAATCTTCTGGACAAATAGGAATTGGCGTAGGAATTCATTCGGTTTCTTTTCCGCGCTCAAAATTTGCATTTGAATTATTTTTCAATGTTGAAGTAGTTTTAGGAATTAAGCACATCCTGAATTGGGCACAACATAACTGTTTTGGTGCCATTTTTATTTACGTTAGTGTTATGCATGCAAGCTTGCCCCATGTCCCGCTGCACCTTGAACCATCTTCTGTTCTTCCTTCTTCACACTTTCTTTCTCTACCCATAACTGTTTTTTTTTCCCTCCATTCACAATCTTTTTCCTTCTTGCTTTGACTTAATCTTGACCTTGCTTCACGCTGCTTCTCGTTCTCCTTCTTCTCGCCTTCATCTTCGCACAGGGTGACTCTATCGATCCCCCAAGCCTTCGAGAAAGTCGGCGTTAGCATGTAAGTAGGCTCTGCTCCTCTCACGACAAACATCTGATTGGCTGCGAA